TCCATAGGATTTAAAGGAGATGTAAAATCATATAGTGTGATGTCCAGGATGCGATCATAAATTACTCGACATACAAATAAATGACCAGGAAATTCTTTCAAAGGAAGACAATCAATAGACCCCAGCCTCTAGGTGATGCAAATCAAAATTTAAAAGCATCTATCATAACCATAAGAAGTTAGGAGAACTTCTATAAGAAGTAAGGAGAACACTTAGAAGTCTTAGCAGAGAAATAGAAGATGGAACTAAAAAATAACTACTGGAATAAAAAGTTTACTGAATGGGCTTTATTTAGTAGGATGGAGATGACAGAGAGTGAGTGAACTTGAAAACAGATCAGTAGGAATTGCCCAGTGTGAACAACAGAGAAAATATTGAGACTGAAAATGGACAGATCCTGGTGGGACAAACCAAAAGTTTTAACATTCTGTGTCAGATTCACAGAAGGAGGAGTGTGATGCAGAAAAAATAATTGAGAAAATAGTTCATGTCTAGGTTCATTATAATGAATGGGTTCTATAACAGCTAAGATATTGGACAGTGAAATGACTAAGCTTCATTTATGCAGGTTAAGATAGCATTTCAAGTGGAAGATATATCTGTAGCTCATTAACAGAATAATTCTGTTAAATGAATCTTTTATTTTTTCTTTTTAAGAACTCACCCTCTAAATACCTGAATTATTATGGTGACAAATTTTAAAAACTGAATGGGATCATGTAGCAGTTTAGATTTTTAAAATTTAAGGCTCTTTGATTTTTTAGCAAGTTTATAAGATCTAATCAAAATTATTGCCAGATGCAACAAATATTTTAGGACCTGCTGTGAACTGGGCTAGGCACTGAGGGTGGAAACAGTAAAACATTCAATCCCTAACTACGTGGAATGATTCTGGTGGGATTAACATGAATACCAAAATAGCCACACAACTAAAGCACTTAGGTAAGCCTTCTGAGTTTTAAAACATTTTAATGGCAGACTTGATCTGGTGGGGGTAGTGAGGTGGCTTGAGCTGGAGGAAGGGAGGTGGGGACAGAGGTTCTAGGTAGAGTGAAATGCATTCAGCAGTATCCAGAACAGTCAAAGTTTGCACCTGTTGTCTCAGCATAATTATAAGGTTCTTGTTCACTCTCAGGTGGCTTGATTTGGGTGAATTAGTTATCTATATATCTGTCAATGTACACTTTATTTGCTTTAATTATTTTTCTCATTGTGTCTTTTGTGTGTGTGTGGCTGCGTTGGGTCTTTGTTGCTGCCCGCGGGCTTTCTCTAATTGCAACGAGCTGCGGGGCTACTCTTCATTGCAGTGAGCGGGCTTCTCATTGCAGTGGCTTCTCTTGTTGCAGAGCACAGGCTCTAGGCACGAGGGCTTCAGTAGTTGTGGCGCACAGGCTTAGTTGCTCTGAGGCATGTGGGATCTTACCGGACCAGGGCTCAAACCCGTGTCCCCTGCGTTGGCAGGCAGATTCTTAACCACTGCACCACCAGGGAAGTCCCTCGTTGTGTCTTTATCATATAATGTGTCAGATGAGAAGGGGGGATCCCAGGAGATCTGAAGGTTAGATAATAGTTTACTCTTTGGAGAGAGTAAAACGGGATCTTTCTGAAGTAAGGGAAGCAGGTACAGTTGAGGGGTTGAGTCACTACACTGAAAACAGAATAAAAAGTTTATACTGAGTGTGGGATCCCTAGCCCTTTATCAGCTCTTTTACCTACCAGAAATCTTAATATGCTCCAGGCAAGAGAACCGAATATTTGGGTAATTTGATCTACCCAGGAAAGAACAACAGCAAAAAAACACGGAGTTCCCCAGTGAAACAGCCTAGATAGAGAGAGGTCCACTAAACAAGCATAGAACTTCTGACTAGCTAAGTCTTAGCACCCTATTCTTGGCCAAGAACCACTTAAAAGAAACGTTGAAAGAGGAGACATTTGGGGGAACATCTGAGGATAAATTTGGGTAAGTGTGTAGAAAACAGAAGCAAGTGAAAAAGCAAGACAGCTTCTAAGTCCAGGAAAAAAACTTATACAAGAGAGGAAAAGTTCTTGTTATACTATAAATAGCTCAGCCACAGAACACGTTTAAAAGTCTAAACATCCTATAGTTAACACTGCTGTATGATATGTGAAGAAAATGTTAAGAGAATAAACCCTGAGTTCTCATAACACCGAAAAAAATTTTTTTCTTTTAATGCCTTTTTTTAAAAATTGTATTTATGTCAGGTGATGAAAGCTCAGTAAACTTATTGCAGAAGTCATTTTGCAGTATACATAAGTGAAATCACTATGATGATGGGTACCTGAAACGTACACAGTGCTGTATGTCAGCTATATCTGAATAAAACTGGGGGAGGGTAGTTAACTTTAATCACCCCTTTTCAGTTCTATTCACTATTTATGTTATGTCCCGTGGATAGAAGAGAATATTTGCAGGAGTGCTTAATTCTAGTGGGAAGTCAGTAGGTAATGACATTAGCCAGTAGCATTATTGGAAGATCTGAATTAGGTCTCTAAAGAGATCCCTGTGCTCTGGAATTTTACTTAATGCTTCTAATGTTCATAGTGGGTATTTTTATTATTTACCTTCATATTCAGTATTTGAATTCTTATTATCTAGTAGGTAAATTTTGTATGCATTATGTAATTTATTATCAGTCATGTGAGGTAGGTTTTATTAAACCAAGCCCAGGGGTAATTGTAAGAAATGTCACAAAGCAGAAAAGCAATAGCTTCAATAAGAGCCTCGTGTTTTCCTTTAGTTCTGGTTATTCCTTTTTGCATGAAGGCATATTCTTTGTGGAATTGAAATACTGTGGGTTCTGGAATGTTGTTTGCACATTTAGTGACCTTTGAATCTTAGAAATATGAAACTGAAAGGTACTACTACAGTACCTAAGACAATCTATAAATTTGTGTTAACTCAGAACTGGGTCTTAATTGCAACTGTTTTTCCTTCCCTAAACAACAAATTGAACCTTTTTTTTTTTTTTTTTCTTTTTTTTGCGGTACGCGGGCCTCTCACTGTCGTGGCCTCCCCCGTTGCAGAGCACAGGCTCCGGACGCGCAGGCTCAGCGGCCATGGCTCACAGGCCCAGCCGCTCCGCGGCATGCGGGATCCTCCCGGACCGGGGCACGAACCCGTGTCCCCTGCATCGGCAGGCGGACTCTCAACCACTGCGCCACCAGGGAAGCCCCAAATTGAACCATTTTTAAAATTTGAAACAAACTGCAAAAACATGGCCAAGTCTAATATGTATTTTCTTCCTTATGTAAACAATCATTAGCACCTTTTAAAAAGAGTAATTGTTAGCTCTTTTTAAAAGTTGCTTCATAAAAAAAAAAAGTTGCTTGATAAAGTTATGGGCAAATAGGCTTTGTAATTAATCATTAGCAAGGCTAAATCATTTAAGTTTTCAGATGGGTCTGAGTAATGTTCAATTTAATCTACCAGTGGGAGGAATTACTACTGCCTTGTGACTAGTCATCCAATAGCCCATTGGGCCAATAACATTTTTTTTAGAAAAATGATGAAACAGGCACAGAATTCTAGCAGGATTGATTGGTATTATGTTTGCCTTTAATACAAAAGAATAAGCATACCTATTTCTGTGCTGGCTGTGCTGTTGAGGATTTCTCTCACAAGGTCTTAACTGGAAAAGAAAACTTTAATGTGCCATTTTCTTGGGTATACAAGAATGAGTTGCCAAATATTAAGAGGCTTAAAACATATTTCTAGCCTTTAATCTGGTCATTTTAAGCTGTCCTGTGGGAATATTTTATGTTAACTTTCTGTTTATAGAGGGCACACTGAAGGGGAAGCACTACCTTAGGTCTCAATCGGGTAGATTAAGACTAGCCCATGACTTCCTTTTTGCTGTCTACTGCCTTACTGCATTTCAACTTTGTTGAAATGGACATTTTGTCATCCCATTAGAGTGTAACAGTATTCCCGAGATCTTATGGGTATGCTTGTACTATTGAATTGTCAGCCAAAGGCATTTTTTGGTTTTTTTGACAATGCTTCTAGACCTTTAAACAGCACTGGGCATTGTGATTAGCTGCCAATTTGATAGCAGAAAATAGTATCAAAACTGTGTGAGAGTACCAGCTTACTTTTGCTGTCAAACTTTTAAATCTCTTTGCCAATCTAATTGGTGAAGGAAATGATGCTTTTTTAAATTGTAATTCATATAGTAAGGTTAAAAATCAGAATTTGAGGGACTTCCCTGGCAGTCCAGTGGTTAAGAATCTGCACTTCCAATGCAGGGGGCACAGGTTTGATCCCTGGTCGGAGAACTAAGATCCCACATGCTGTGTGGTGCCCTCCCCCCCAAAAAAATCAGAATTTGATAGGGGAAAAAAGTATCTCATTTTAACTTGTATTTCTTTAATCGCTTAGTGAAAGGTAATGTTTTCCCTTGGTTTATTGGCCTTTGGTATTTCCTCTGTACATGGCCTATTTACATTATTTTGTCCATTTGTCCCTCCCCAGCATTTGTCTTTTTCTTAATAAATTGCAAATACGTAGTATAATTTCCTGGGTTTTGGTTTGCTTTTTTGTTTTTTACATGCTATAGCAAAATGTATCCATCCTATTTGGTGGATATGTCAATATGATTTTTGTGTGTGTGTGTGGTACGCGGGCCTCTCACTGTTGCGGCCCCTCCCGTTGCGGAGCACAGGCTCCGGACGCTCAGGCTCAGCGGCCATGGCCCACAGGCCCAGCCGCTCTGCAGCATGTGGGATCTTCCCAGACTGGGGCACGAACCCATGTCCCCTGCATCGGCAGGCGGACTCTCAACCACTGCGCCACCAGGGAAGCCCCAATATAAGTTATTTTGAAACAAAACTAAATGTTGGTATTCATAAGAGAAGCTGGAACAAGAATGTGACAACAAATATAAAATGTGATCTTAAATCATTGGAAACCTTTGAGACCTTTGTGATTTTTATGAGAGTACTGTTATGAATTAATCATCCTCTTTTTGGTTAAATAATAGATCCGAGTGGGACATACTTTTGAAGGATGTGCAATGTTCAATCATAAGTGTGACAAAAACTGACAAGCAGGAAGCTTATGTACTCAGGTAAGTCCTGTAAAACAAGTGTTGGCTAACCAATTTCAGTCTGAATCATACTTTACATGGAATAGCAAATCATTTTTCTGGATCTTAGTTCTATAATTGTTTTCATCTTATTTTTTAAAATATGGTGTAAAATAAAATGTTTACTTCCGATGTCCCTAGGCAGTAGGTTTTTGAAGTCTTACCTAATAGCTCTTCAAGATGGTTGCCATCTTTACTACCTCCCTGAGGTTAGCAGGAAATGTCTGTGAAGGAGGGAAGGGTAGAATGGCACTGTTCCTTTGCCCACAGTCCCTGATACAGGTCTTCCTTTTTAGTATATGCCTTTCTCTCAGAACTTCAGGCAAAGTGAAAATTAGCTTCATCATACAAATAGGATTGCTGTATGTAAGAGAAGAAAGCCATGCAATCTTTTTATAGGTACAAAGATACTATATTGAATTCTTATAATAATAATATAATGGGCCTTGGGGCTATTGTATTGAACATGGTGCCTGCTTTTTACGAAGCTTGTGCTTGGCATATACAGATGTTTATCAAATGATTATTATGTGCCAGGCCCTAGGGATATAATGGTGAGTAAAAACAAACATTCATTTCCTCATATAGCTTATTATCTAATGAAAAGTAATGAGATGGTTACAAAAATACACGAGAGTGGGCAGTTCAAGATGAGGTAAAGTATGAATTTAGTGTCCTAGGTTAGGTTAGGTTAGGTGAGGAGGAAAGTTGACTACTAAAAGAGAATTTGTGTAATGAGCTAATATGCTTTATACCTAATTTAAGTTCTGTTTCCGTGGGGTCCTATAACCTTACACTGATTTTTATATAATAGAAGAGGAAGAATACTACAGTACATTATTTGCCTCCTTGAGATCTTAACATTTAAAATTATTAGCCAAAAATTTACATTGTAAATGACAGTGCAATAATAGATTAAGCATCTCAGTAGTACATAAACATTGTTATAATATTGTGACTTTTTTTTAAACTGCAGTGAGAGTAGCATGTTTGTCTCCAAGAGACGTTTCATTTTGAAGACATGTGGTACCACCCTCTTGCTGAAAGCACTGGTTCCCCTGTTGAAACTTGCTAGGGATTACAGTGGGTTTGACTCAATTCAAGTAAGTAATCAAAAAACATTTATCCTTTTGCGGGGTGGGGCATAAATGTTAGGGTTCGGTGATGTGCCTGGTAAATAAATTTGTATACTTGTTCAGTTTTAATGGGTAAGGATGTTCACAACATGGGGAGAAAGAGTG